TGAGAGTGGCGATGCCTGGAGGGTGGAGGGAACCGATTACAAGAATCTACATATAGCCTCCTCCCTGGGGATGGACAGCAGAGAAGAGGGCAGGGGGAGGCGTCAGACAGTGTAACATATGACAAAAAAAATAATTTATGAATTATGAAGGGTTCGTGAGGGACAGGGAAGTGGGGAGGGAGGGAGGAAAATGAGGAGCCGATATTAAGGGTTCAAGTAGAAGGCCAAAATTTTGAGAATGATGATGGCAACAAATGTACATATGTGCTTGACACAATGGATAGATGTATGGGTTGCGATAAGAATTGTACAAGCCCCAAATAAAATGATTCTTTTTTTAAAGAAAATAATTAAATTCTATGGTTTCACCATATTTATTCAATATGTATGCTGAACAAATAATCTAAGAAACTGGACTGTATAGAGAAGAAAACAGCATGGGATTAGAGGAAGACTCATTAACAACTTGGGGTTTGTAAATGACACATCTTTTTTGTTGGTAATGTAAAGGGCTTGAAGCACTTATTGACAAAGAGCATAAACTACAGCTTTCAACTGGATTACACTTCAACATAACACGCCCCCTCCAAGCAAAATCAATGTCATCAAGTTGATTCTGACTGATTACTATAGGACAGAGTAGAACTATCTCTGTGGGTTTAAGAGACTCTAACTCTTCATGGGAGTAGAAAGCCTTATCTTTTTTCCATGGATCAGCTGGTGGCTTTGAACTTATACCTTGTGGCTAGAAGGCCAATGTTTGACCCACTGTGCCACCAGGATGCTCCCACAGTGGCCAGTGTGTTTGCACTACTGACCTTGGAGCTAGCAGCCCAATGCCAAAACTCACTACACCACCAAGCTCCCTAATTTAGCATAAAGAAAACAAAAATCCTTTAAGTCGACTAATAAGCAACATCATGATAAAAGTAAAATATTGAAATTGTCTAAGATTTCATTTTACTTGGATCCACACTCAACACCCACAGAAACAGTATTTGAAAAGTAAATACCATTTTACATTAGGTAAATGTGCTTCAAAAGACCTCTATAAAATGTTTAAAAGTCACCTTGAAGACTAAGGTACCCCTGACCAAAGCCATGGTATTTTCAGCAGCCTCAGGTGCATGGCAAGGAGCTTGGTGGTGTAGTATCCACTATTGGCTGCTATTTGGCTGCTATCTATAAAATCAGGGGTTTGAACCCACCAGCCCCACCAATGGAGAAAGACTCATCTTTCTACTCCCAGGAAGAGTCACAGGCTCAGGAACCTACAGGGATAGACCTATGCTGTCCTTTAGAGTCACTAGGAGTCAGAATCAACTTGATGGTAGTCAGTTCAGATGCATGGGAGAGCACAAAGGCAAAACACTAAGGGCACGCAACAGAACTGGGGGAGCAGAGCAATGAAATTCCTGGAGACTACCAAAAACAGACCGTTGGGGCCAGGGCA